TGGCTCTTCGGCTTTGAAACGGAGATGAGTACCGCAACCCTAGAGTCGGACTCGACTGGCTTTCGAGCAAGGGAACCTTTACCTTTATACATAACACACAAACAAAAACAGACCTTTGTATATTTTTAAAATTTTGGTTGACAGCAAAACAAAACCCCACTGATATTTTTTGCTCAATTTTATTTATTTATTTATTTTATTTATACCCCGCCCATCCCGCAAGCAGGCTCAGGGCGGCTAACAAAACGGTACAATGTACCTGATTGGCATAAGAGCTTTCCTGCCCTTCAAAAGTAACCTGCAGTCTGCATTGGGCTGGCCCTTTTAATTGACCCAGTTCTGATCCCTCTTGGGGTTTTCATGGTTAGAGCCCAGTATTGAGGATACGTAAAATTCAGCCAGGATTTGGGGTGGGGGGCAGTGTCCCTATAAGCTGAGTTAGTGCGAGCCAGCTCACAGTTTTTTAGCCTCCGGCTCACACGTTTTTGTCTTAGCTCAGGAAGGAGGGCTCCAGAGCGAACTAACTTATGCAGCAGCCAAATTGCTCGCTCACAGCTTTAATGCCAGCAGATCACAAGGTAGAATTTTTGCTCACAAGACTCCACAGCTTAGAGGGAGCATTGGTGGGGGGGTACTTTTTAAAAAGTAGGCTTTATGCATTCTTCAGGCTGTTTGTTGATCAGCATCTAAAAGGTAGGTACAGTTGGCCTCATCAAGGTTGCATCAAATTTGCATGCCTTATCTCAGACTGGCCTCCTCGTGCCCGTCATGGGGCTGGAGCTCTTAACTTGTTTTCCACGGTGCCAGCAGCATAAGGTGATGAAGCTTATCTGATTAAGTCTGCCTTAAATTTTAATGTGGTGGTATCCTGAGAACCTGATATAGCTTCTCTCGGTGCTAATGGAGCTGGGTAGATATAAGAGGGAATAGGCTGGCCAGATACAGGCTTGAAGGATGACATTTATTGCAGAAGGAAGGAGTGACTTCTAGAGGTCAGAGTGCCTAAAAATTTCCAGAGCTTGTGGCAGACAACCACCAGCCAGGGATAAAAGATTGTAAAACGATCTTGAGAGCTTTAGAATACCAAGCAGTCTGCTTCTTGAATGAGGCATTTTCTTTCTAGAGTTTTCTGGTGTAATCTTAACAGACAAACAATCCTTGCTTTCCGTTTTCCCCTCTCTTACTTAGAAGGGCCGCCGAAACCAGGTGTCCGGAGTGGCTGGGCTTACCAGGACATCCTGGCTTTACTAATCTTTGCCTATAATGATAGACCACTTCCTGACCATTGTCCATCCACAGACAAGAGTCAGCCAATCAAAAAAGGGAATGGCATTTCTCTGAAGCCAAGCTCAGTTCCAAGGTTAAGCACCACTGAAAACCCCGTTATGAAAGGGATTGTGGAATTGTAGGTGTGGTGTTGTATCATTTCTGGCTCAGCAAGGCCCAGGATCCGGTCACTTGCTCTTTGTAGTTGATTCTGAAGTCTCATTACTCCATAATCAGTGGCTTTATCAGCAGCTGATGTTTTGATGGCTGGCAGGGGAAAAACCTTTCACCACTGGCTTAGTGCGATTTTTAGCATGCTAACAAACCTCATTACTGACTGTTTCCTACAGCTAATGAACAACTGTGATCACCCCCCTTTTACCATTTCCTTCCCCTTGCTTGCTTTCTAGGTCGGAGAAGGAGCCCCAGTTTAAGTTTATCTACTTCAATCACATGAACCTGGCCGAGAAAAGTACCATCCACATGAGGAGAACATCCAACATCTCGCTTGCCTCCGTTCACCCTGACTTGATGAAGATTCTTGGAGACATCAACAGTGATTTCACAAGGTGACCTGGGTGCTCTTCCTTTCTGGGGGAAAGGATCATTCTACCACACGTACCAAAACTGCTTAATTTTTAAGACGGGGTAAGCAGAATCTAAAATCATCCACCCAAAGCAAGATCCATTTCCAGGTTTCTTAGTTGCTGTGTTCTAAACACTGCCTTTGCCTACATTTCTTTCTTTCATTGTACGTCACCCTAAGATCTGCATCCAACTAACTGTTCTCTTACAGAGTTGATGATGATGAGGAAATCATCGTTAAGGCCATGAGTGATTACTGGATAGTGGGCAAGAAATCCGATCAGCGGGAACTATACGTGATTTTGAATCAGAAAAACGCAAACCTGATTGAAGTGAATGGTAAGGAGCTACTGGAATGACCAAAGCACTCGGTGGGTTTTGTTCCATCAGGAGCAAATTTTTTTAGAAGAAAAGTTGTGGAGATTAAACGCCTGAATAAGCAGGACTTTTTGTGGTCATCTGACCCAAGGCTCTAAGGCTAGATTGACACATGCCGAGTTTAAAAGTGTAGAGGGTCTTACCATTTTTGGCAAAGCCCCAGTTAGTGTGTATGCCACTCTGGGAACCCATTTCTGGTTAATATTCTTCCGCTTCCTAGATGATAATAAAATGAAGAGCTTGAATAGTCCAACAACATTGAAGTTAGCTGGTAAGACACAGAGACTTGGAATTGGAGGGACCATCATTACTACGTAAAGTGGAGGAGAGGAGAATGACGTAAGCTGCTTTGGGTCCCCCCTTGGGGAGAGAGGCAGAGCACCAGTGAAGTTAAATAACTTTAAGAATGTTTTATAATTGCTCAGAAATACCAAAGGATTAAGATCACACAACTTTCTCTGTGTTAATTTGTTTGGGGGTAAATTACAAAACCCTTTTATTATGCAAATCATGTCATCTGTCTTTTTTGACTACTGCAAAGGGCAAACTTCCTTGGGAAGTTGGTAGCTCTTTAAACAGGGATGGTTCTCAGATTTCTTAGTTCTTTAAGATGAGTTATATGGAGGTGGTTAAAACTGCAAAACCACTGTGGAGAAGACAACATTAGTAACATCAGCAGTAACCTCACTTCACCATAATGCGATTTGTAGTGCCTGGTGAAGTGTTTGTAAAAACCAGCTGCATTCAGGCGGTGAGCTTTAGCTCCTAACTTAAATAGGAATGTTGGTCACAGTGCAGTGGGCGAGCATGCCTCTGCTCACCTGAGGAAAAGAAGCCCCCAAGGGGGGGGGGAACCAGACTGGACGGCAGCCGAGCGCTGATACTGACACCCATAATATGAGCTCACCAGTTTGGTCAGAAGGGTGTACCTGTGATGAAGTGTAGGGATCAGGCTGTTTTCTTTGACATAATTTGAGACTAGTGCTGTTAGCTGCCAAGAGAATATTCTGGAGTGAACATAAGAACGTAAGAGAAGCCAGTGTTGGATCAGGCCAATGGCCCATCCAGTCCAACACTCTGTCACACAGTGGCCAAAAATACCAGTGCCATCAGGAGGTCCATCAAAGAGTGGTTTGAAAACTATGACCAAGGTGTAGCTTATAATTGGAGTAATGTCTACTGGTAGGCTTATTGTAGTCCTTTTTAAAAATAATAAATCTCTTCTTTAGACTTCAGTAAAAACAGCAGCACAGTTGTCTAAAGCTTGAAAATTATCAGCAGTAGAAGTTAATATATTCTTACTACTGTAACTATTTTGCAGTGAAGGTTCCTCTTTAATCACTGAGTGTTTAATACTTCAGAACCACAAAACACCTTCACCCCTCCCTCTTTTTACAGAAGAAGTAAAGAAACTCTGTGCAACGCAGTTCAACAACATTTTCTTCTTAGATTGATCTGCCAAGGGCCGACTCTTCCTGAAGGTGGCTTGAAAATGTCAAAAAAGCATTTTTCTTCAAGTTGACAGGTTTATTAGTCATATTATTGACTGGAACAATGACAATAGTAAAGCAATACTTGCTTTGTAAGAATCTAATTTCTACCAAAAACTGTAAAAGTCTGATCGTACGATTTTTAGATTTTAAAAGTATTTATGTGCAAATAAATTAAAACCTGTATGAATTAAACACGCGTCATTCCATTGCTCTGATATTTATGTGAATATTTTACTGGAAAAATAAAATTTGTCATTATTACAATGTTGAGGGTCTTTCCCCTTCTTTGTCTACTCCTGAGGAAAGGACATTTTAGTGAGCCCCCCACCCCAGGGGAGCCCCCAGGCACGGCTGGTAGTCAAAGTCTTGGCGGGTCACAAATTGCACTGGTCTGCAATGACCGAGTCCCAGGCTACGAATGTTGAGGAGGAAGGGAAGATTGGGTAGCTTTCCCTTATGGCAGAAAGGTTACATTTTGTGATCCTAAAACCTGGATAGCCCAGTCTCATGATATCTCAGAAGCAAAGCAGGGCTGGCCCTGGTTAGTATGTGGATAGGAAACTACCAAGGAATTCCAGGGTCACTACCCAGAGGCAAGCAATGGCAAACCACCTCCTCTGAACATCTCTTGCCTTGGAAACCCCCACTATAAGTTATCTGCAACTTGATGGCACTTCCCACTACAACCCAGGCAGGAGAATCATGAGTGTAAAAACAGTATGCATGGTTGCTGTCCTGACTCCTTCACCATTTCAGAAGCGTAACATGATTCTTTGGGGACAGCAGTTATAATGCTCTTGCAAGCGGCTGCTGGGCTCTTGTTCCAGACAATCACAGAGGTTGCGTAATTTTTTGAACAAAGCAAAATTATACACATTTACTGGCAAAAAAAATTATTCTGCCCAGATCACCCACCGAAAGCCTTGCCCAGATTTCTTGGCTCTCATTTCCCACTCTAGCCATGAAACCTCACATTAAAGCAGAAGGATACCAGATTAGGGCCCCTAAGGAGTTTCTTTTAATTTGATACATATAAATTAGTTTTATTGAAGGTACATAAATATGCATAGCCCCAAGACTGATACAGCATTGCTAAAACAAGGACTGACTGTTTTAAGTGTTCAAGGGGAAAAAGATATCCTGCTATAAACATCTAGTCCCTTTCCTACATATTTCACTTACAAGTCAATGTGAAACTCCTGTTCCTTTTATCTAAACTTCACAACTTGAGGCTTTTGGTTATTTGTAGACCCACAAGATAACACTGGTTGCGTTCAAAAGTGAGCAGGGATGTTCGTGCTCCTGAAGCGGCTTCTGTGCTCACAGGTTCATAAAAATATTTTGCTGCCGATGCACAGTATGACATTACCCCCCCAAACTGCACCACTGAGATCCCTCAAAGAGGACTTCCAACAGGCGTGCCACTCCGCTACTTTTTCTTTTTCTTCCATGCAGCGGCGGCTTTGGCGCTTGGCGGGATCGGAGGCAAAATGGGAGATTCTTCCTTTGGCGGAGACTGTAGCTGGACGGAGCCCTCCTCCGCTTCTCTGCTCGCACTTTCCTCAAGTTCCGAGGCGGCTTTTTCTGCTGCAGCTTCTTCCAGCTTTCTGGCCTCTTCTGCTTCCCATAGAGCATGAAGCCTGTGGGGGAAACAAAAAGGAAAGGCAGGAAGAAAAAGCGTTTAAAATGCAGGGGAATTTCAGACAGCTGATATGTTCCGTTTCAGGAACTGTTCACTAACGGTTCCCTAATGGAATATTGTAGCGTCCTCTTATTAGGGAGGACTGTATTTCTCTTTAATATTTATATTTTGTCTTTACAAAATAGGTAGGTAGTTCCAGCTGCCACCAGGAATTTTAATAAATTCCAAATCCCCTCTTTGCTTCTGGTGTTGGTATTGTAACACGGGGTTTAGGCTTTCAAGGATCTAATGTGGTCCTGAGGAAGAATTGATATGACTTCTGGGATATATCTCCCTTATATATAAAAGCCGAATGGTGGTGGCACTTCTCTAGAACATTCCATACGCTCTGGAATTGGTTGACGCCCTGGTGTGTCACTCAGAATCTGTCCCTATCCACTGGCTGCATTGCTTGAGTCTCGCCTCCAACATTCTAAGCAGTTTGCTGTTTCTCTCCCCCCCATAGCCAGTCAGAACACAGAGGTTATTTGCATATGCAGCCTCCTTGGCCTTTGCCTCGGAACACAGAGGTCGTTTGCATATGCGACTTGATTGGCTTTTGCCTCTAACATTGTAAACAGTTTGCTGTTCTGAGGTAAAATGTGTCCAATCTCCAGGTGAGGGCTGGAGATCACTCAGAATTACAACTGCTTTCCAGATGGCAGAGATCAGTTCCCCTAGAGAAAATGGTCGGCTTCAGAGCACGGGAGAGGCTGCAGGTGTGTGGGGGGTGGAAAGCTGAAGAGTGAGGGGGAAATAAAGTAGGTTGATGGGGAACCATTGTTTCCAATCTCCAGGTGAGGGCTGGAGATCACTCAAAATTACAACTGTTCTTTAGGTAGCAGAGATCAGTTCCTCTGGAGAAAATGGTGGACTCAGTGTCATTATACCCTGCTGAGGTCGCCACAGCAAATTGACACTGAGTGTCCAAGGCCGGGGCACCCGCCCAGAGCCTCTTTCTAGAGATCGTTGTATTTATTTCCACAACGAGCCTTTTTCCTAGTTTAAAATAGGATTTATGGAAAGGGGAACAAAACAAGAGGTTGGTTTATATTTATTTATTTATTTATTTATTTATTTATAAATTCGATTTATAGCCCGCCCGCGGGCTCAGGGCGGCTCACAAATAGGCATAAGCCAACACATAAAACACGTTAAAATCATATAAAATCGCTATTGCACAGTTTTGGGGTTCTGTTACAGCGCCATAGCGCCCTTGAAAGAACATTTTTTAAAAAAAAGACGGCGATCGCCCACACAGGCGAAAAAAGGGAGGGAAAACAACGAGGCGCAGTCTGAAATGACAAACCGCTTCAGAGATGGCTTCGGAGATGGCTCCTTACCGGTAGGGAAAATTTGTGTGAAATGGCCATCTCTACCGGTTTATTCCAAGACAGTACGATAACGGTTTTAAAAGGGTAATCTGAAATTCCCAAAATTCAGCTAACATTATTTGACTGGGGGGGGGGAAGCACAACAAAATGCAATCACCTCAGTCCTAAAACCAACGATCCCTTAATCAGCCACACCAATTTGGGGGGGGGGGTATCTTTTGCATGACAGAACCAAAGGTGTCCATTCACAAAACACTGTCAAGGGCTCAGAGTACATTTATATCCCGCTTTTCCTCTGGGGAACTCGAGACTGTGTACAGAGATTCTACAAGTAGATCTTCTTCGTGGTCTCTGTGCTTCACACCAATGGGATCTAGTGCGCCTGCGCTGGATCTGCCGGTGCCTAGCAAGCTCTCTTAAAAGGATTTTCGTGCCTGGCCCAACTGAGCATGCTCAGGAGCCCCAGTGAGCATGCCCAGAAGGGCAGGCACGGACATCCCGCCAGTTCTTTCCTTTCCGCCGCGCTGAGCAGACCTTTCTTCGAGAGGTCTGGCCGGTTCGCTGTTTTTGGATCACTTTTTAGTGATTAGCTCTCGTTTTTCGCCTCAGTTTTTCTTCAGTTTCCTTTTCTCTTCCTGTGTTTCAAAAAAAAAAAAAGAGAGAGACTTTTTGTTTTTCGTCACCTGAGGTAAAAT